CGACCAATCGTCACCTTCTTATCATGCTCGAGCTCAATTTCCATCAATTCTTCAACAGGAGCAAGTCTGACTTGTTGTCCATCCTCGGGATCCATCCTCGAGATTTGCATGACGTCGTTATTTATTTCCCGAACGCTGGCAACATAGCATTGTCTGGCAGCTATCTGGTCTCCACGGACAACCCCAATGCCATTATTTGTTGGAAACTTCATGGCTAGATAGAAGGTGGACACAATGGCTTTAATCTTGTTCAGGAGTGGTCTTCCCAGAATTGTGTTATAGGCCATTGAGACACGTACCACTTGAAAAGATGTCATCTCCGTAACCTGTTTCTGGCCAGAACCCAAAGTTAGTGGAAGCTTAACGACACCCTCTGGAGTGATGACTCCTCCACCAAACCCCTGGAGAGGAGTTTTAACCGCTTTGAGCTGGTGAGATGAGATTCCCATTTTGGCAAAAGCTTCTTGTGAAAGTATATTGGCCGCACTCCCGTTGTCAACCAGGATTCTCTTCACTTCAAAATTGGCCACAATCGCTGAGATTACCAAGGCGTCATCATGTGGAAGTGATACACCTTCTAAGTCCCCGGTCCCAAAAGTAATATCCTCCAGCTTTCCATGAGGCATCCCAGACGTCGAGACATATCGTCGGGCATATTGTTTTCTTCCACTATTGGAGTCTCCTCCCGAGGCAATACCTCCAATGATGATATTGATGGTTCCATCAGTGGGTTGACCATCCCTTTTTGCCTCAAGGTCTTTTTCCCTGCCACGATCATTCCTCGGGCGTTTGTCGTTACCGACGTAGGAGCTCAGGAGTCCTCTTTTGATAAGGGCTTCAATCTCTCGTTGTAGGGCCTTACAGTTCTCTGTGGTATGCCCATGGTCCCGATGGAACTCACAGTATTTGCTCATGTCCCTGGATTCGGGTAGTGACCTCATTCTGATAGGGCATTTCAGTTCATTCATATCCTTGATCTCCATCAATATATTGGTCTTTGACGTATTTAAACGCGTGAACGGCGTCCTGTCTCTGTTTTTTTCGATGCTGTTCTTCACAGGGGTTCGGGTCATGCTGTCTTTTATGCTCGACCCTGTCATGGGATGGTCCAACCTTTCTCGGGTTCAGTGTTTCCTCCATATTTATGTACTTCTTGGCTCGGGTAAGAAGCTCGGTGACTGTCTTTGGTGGAGTTTTGGATAAAGACATCTTGAAAGCCTCGCACTTTATAGCATATGTGAGGGCAGAAACTGCTGCAGTTATGTGTAGGTCGGGAATCTGAAGTCTTTCCTTATTGAACCTGGTCATTAAGTCACGTAGGATCTCATTTTGCCCTTGTCTAAGTTGCATGAGGGAAGCCGCTGTCTTCTTGATGCATTTGCTGCTTGCGAAGAAAGCGGAGAACTTGTCCGCCAAATCTGAGAATGAGGCTATGGAGTTGGGCTCTAAGGTTGAGAACCAATCCCTAGCAGCATTCGTCAAAGTTTACGGGAAGGCCTTGCACATCACATGATCTGGTGCAACCTGTAGATTCATGACGTCCGTGTATATGTTCAGATGATTGATTGGATCGGTGGTCCCATCATATTCTTTGATCCTAGGATACTTAAATCTGTCTGGCAAGGGGAATGTTAATATCTCGGGAGTAAATGGAGTGTTGGGACTGAATCTTGTCGTCCCTTTGTTGCCCTGAAGTAGGCCCGCCGTAATTCCTTCTCGAATAATCCTAGCGAGTTCCCCGGACTCCATGGTCACTGATCTCGAGGCCGAGGTCACATGTGGTATACCCGAGGCCCCTGCTCCGCCATGGTCAGGGACATGAGCTCAAGCTCAAGCATCAGCCATAAAACCCCCCTGGGGTACTGGTGTGGGTGACGGATACGAATTTCTTTAACTTAGCAGCTGAGTCAGTGTGGCGACCTGTTGTCTGAGCTCTTCAAAGGCTCCAGCAGTGACGACTGCCGGCTGGGGCTCTGGCACTTCTAATGATTCCTCTTGAGGAACAGAGATATCCTCAGGAGGAGATTGGTTTGGAGCAGATGAGCTTGCTGGTGGAAGACCTGAACGTGTGTTTACCATGGCTTTTGGTAGCGTTTCCCACAGACGGCGCCAATGATGCTACCAAAAATCGTACCTGTAGATTTCTCGAGCTTGATGACTGATGAGGAGCACGAACGTGATCTTCCAGTACCTGAAACAAAGGCAACGAGGTGTGTTCTCATCGCCCCTCTGATGCTTAAGTCAGAAAAGGAAATATATGCGTGAGGCTATGTGCTGGAGAACAATGAAAAACGTACCTGAATAATGGTTCAAGGTTCTGTATTTATAGTAGTAAGTGACATTCTCCTAATTGGACTCAACTAGCTGGATGTCCTCATCTGTTGGAGTCCTGAATAGTTAAAGAGTTGGTTGAATTCCAGAATTATACGTGAGATAGGATTCTTGTGGGAGTTAAGATTCCTAATTGCGTAGGAATTCTAAAGGGTTAACAATCGTTAGTAGTGAGGGGAGGACGTGCCCGAGGACTATGCCCGAGGACAAATGTTTGCAATACGCGAAGCAGCATGAGATGTGGTCGGGCCTAATATCTCGAGGATGGTCATGCTCGAGAACACCGCAGATGGATTTATACCTTTATCAAAAAATAGTCGTCGGGATATGTGATGATCGGGGATATTGGAAAATGTCCCCATCAGTCGATGTTATTTTTCCCTCAAGTTCTGCGTTATGAAACTTGATTATAAAATTAGGCTCCATAGAGTGATGTTAGTCTTTAGAAGTTCATAAAAATAATATAACGAAACTCAATCGAACCAAGGATACTTGGACTGTTTCTGTTGATTTTTATGAACACTCCATTCTTATCTATATTTAATACGAGCTAAAATACAGATTTCATGAGTCTGGCATGATCAAACTTGTAAAATCTGGACCAGACCCATTGGTCTGACTTTTAAACAGGCAACCGACTTGCAAATTGGTCCAAGACTCCAAGATAAGCTACATGGCCAGACCCCATTGCTTGTGAACATGTCAACCTTGGTGCCTCGTCAGAATCGATGATTGGACCGAGTTTTGTAAGTATTCATAATACGCTAACGAACATTACCTAAATTTTTTTTTATTCAACATAGTTTTCAGTTTCTAAAATCTTCACACGCCATTTCTTATCTGGCTAAGATACATGTCTTAGAAACCTCTCATAGTCATAATTAATGTCAATGTCATTATTTTCTTTTCAACACTTACTTTCAATCTGTGGCATAAATAATCAATATTTTGTCAAACACGTTTACTCGACTTTTCTTACAGCCACATCAAGTGTGGGGTTTATTCCATGGGAAAAAAAGGTAATGAAGTTAACGTGTCTTTTCTTACAACTACGTAAAGTTTATGGGAAAAATGGTAATGAATTTTATGCTTGTAAATCAAGCAACTATCAAGTATTTTTTTTTTCCCCTTAAATATTTTCATTCCACACAGGAAAAGTTGATATAATTCGTCGTAATTTGTTTTAGTACATTACAGCAATGGCCCTAATGGAATCTGATGAAGTTGGAAGAACAGCAACCCATACATGAACTTAAGCCGAACTAAAACTTGCAGTAGATATGAAGTTGCGTGTGATGAGAAAAAATGGCTTGTTAGGGCTGTTTTGGCATAATTTTGAGTGGGATCCATTTGTTCATTTTGGAAGATCAAAGTTGATTCGTGTTCTCCTTTGAGGGAACATTGAAATCATATATTTACTTGCCAAAAATGATAACTAGATGAATAAGAAATTAAAGCTTAAAGTGATGAATTGGAAAAGGTTAAAGTATCAGAGGAAAAACTACAAGTTTACAAAAGTTATATGGCTACACTTTGAAAGTTTGTAATCATGTATAGCATAGAAATTCTCTCCACGTACGAGCACACAATATGCAAATCAAGAACCGGAATAGCACTTCGAATCTTGAACTTGTGTGCACATGAATGTCTGATTGAACAGACCAAAAATTGGCCTCCTTAGGAGGGTCCACGTTTTAATTCACTGCGGAAAGCAAAATTCCTCAAGGATACAATGGAACTTGTTAGGAGAGAAGAAGCCACCATTAGTGAGGCTCGTATTTCGGCATTAACAAAATTCGAATAAACTTGTTAAAGAAATGAAATTGAAGAATGCAAGAATAGGAGATTTCGGTCTTGATAAATCATTTTTAATTGAATCAAAGAACTTAGAACTCAGAAATTTCACTATAAACACGATATCACAAAAAAAGGGAGTAAATAGGGATTATCAAAGTACTTAAAGTACTTAATTTATTGTTATTCGTATCTTCTCTGTGCATGAAACTGACTTCGCTCTCTGCTTCTGGAAAGACGAGCTCTTTTCAAGTTTAATCAAGGCCTTATAGACGACTATGACTCTCTCGTCCTTGGGAAGTGACAAAGATAAAAGTGGATGCTGCAAATGGAAGGGTGTGGCATGTAGCAACATAACTGGTCACGAGAATATTACTCATTATCATCCCTCGAGAGAAAAGAAAAGCCCTGCATTGCTTGAGATGCAGCATTTGAATTACCTGGACTGGACTGGACCTAAGGGGAAATGATTTCGGAGGCAGTATTCAAATACCAAAATTCATTGGTTCCTTCGAGAAATTAAGACACATGAAATTTAAGTATGAACATCGGAAAGTAACCAACTTGCTGACTCTTGAAATTTTTGGATTCGCTTGTCCATATTGTCACCAACTGAGATTCAAGAACCTAGAATCGATTTCTCATCTTTCTCCGTTCTTTACTTGGCTGGTATTAACCTTAAAGAAACCAACTGGCTACAGCAAATAACAAAGCTCCCTTTTCCTCAAAGAATTGCTTTTTAAAGGAAAGATACATAACCTCAATTTTAATTAAAAAAGAACTAAAAAAATAAACTAGACCCATGTGTAGCACCATTATTGCTACATAGTACATAGCATTACTCTATTAACAACAGTGCTATTATATTAGCATGATTATGTGCATGTTCTGCAAAATTATCATTCTGTTGAACCTTCTCTATCTGGCTTCTATATCAGTCATACTCACTGCATTTGAATTTGGCTCTGGTTTACTAGTTTCTTCATTATTGTAATGCAGTTTACAAGATCCTTCAATATTGTAACTCCCTCCCATGAAAAATCCAGGTTCATTGGGATCAGGCAAATTTGCTCCCTCCTGATCACTTCCTAGGACAAAAAGCACATTGGACATAAATGGCCTGTCCTCTGTGTGTTTCTGAACGCATAATAAGCCCACGTGTATATATCTCTTCACTTGAGATTCAACATATGAATCTTTCAAACATTCATCCATTAGTTCCAAGGCCTTGTCTTCTTTCCAAAGGAGCCATGCCTATGAAAATTGATCAAATTAGACGAGTTTTGTAGCTCGCAAGAAAACTAGTAGAGATATATTTATAAAGTACCAAAAGCTACAAATAAAAGTAAAATTCAATTTGCTCGCGCTGCTTACATGTCCTAGAAGGCTATCACAGTGATCCATGTATCTGAAACTTTCTTTTTGCCACTCACTATCTCTAACAAGACAACACCCATGCTAAAGATATCTGATTTTACTGAGAATTTTCCATCAAAGGCATACTCAGGAGCCATATAGCCACTGTATAAAGTTATTGATCAAGGGTCATATGATGTTGTGCAAACAATTAATTTTTTGACTAATGTTAACGAGAAACTGAAACTTACTATGTCCCAATAACTCTTTTTGTTCTTTCTATATCGTGACCCCCTCCAACAATTCTTGCCAAGCCAAAGTCCGATATTTTTGGATTTAGATATTCGTCTAGCAAGATATTGCTTGTTTTGATATCCCTATGGATAATCTTTAATCTGGAGTCGTGATGAAGATAGAGAAATCCATGAGCAATCCCCATAATAATGTCAAAACGCTTGGGCCATGACAATATTGTCCTTTTATCTTGATCTGCACAGAATTGCACAGTTTTAATTGTTAAAACTACATGTTTGATCCCCTTGGATCCAGCATATTGATTTACAGAACATATTAATCAGATAAAGGGTTTCTTAGGTCACACCAAAAATATAATTATCCAAGCTTCTGTTCTCCAAGTACTCATAGATTAACATTCTTTCATCTCCTTAAGTGCAACATCCCAATAATCTGACGAGGTTTCTGTGTTGGAGTTTGGCAATCAAATTCACTTCATTTTTGAGTTCTTCAATACCTTGTCTGGATGTTTTGGACAGTCTTTTTACTGCTACTCCTTGTCCATCTGATAACCTACCCTTAATATGCAATAAAAGATACAAATGTTAATGTGATATATTCGTACAAAGAAAAAAGGCACCACATCTGTTTTCGCTAGAGAAATTACCCGGTAAACAGGACCAAAACCACCTTCACCTATCATGTTTTTGCTGGAGAAGTTATCCGTGGCAGTAGCTACAGTTGCCAAACCAAATGAAGGTAATTCTAGGCCTTCAGTTTTCCTTTCTTCTCCTAGAAAACAAATTATTGCCTTAGAGCTTTAATGCATGCTTACTGTGATTTATGTATTCTTAAGCACTTTGCTGAGCTCGTGATAAAACTTTTGTGAGAAAGAACAGAGGATAAGTATCATTACCTTTACTTGTTAGTCTTCTCTTTAGAAGTATGCCTCCGCAGATTAAAGCAGAGATAAGCACTCCGACAGCAGTCAAAATGAATATTATCTTTGTGGGCCATTTCTTTTTCTTACCTAAAACATTGTTAGATTCTGCAAAGAAAAAGAGCAGCTGATGTAACTATTCTCCACGTGAAACCTTTTTTAATGTAACTGGTTATCCAGAGTTTCTGGCTTTCTGATATAAACTACAAGAAATAGTATTAGTTAATTTTTTTCTCATGTGCCCCTTCTGAATCTTGATAATAAAATTTGGTTGCTTAATATGATATTGGCTTTTAGAAGTTAATAGAACTAACATGGCGAAGGATCTCAACTCTGCTCTATTTTGGACCCTCCTTACCCACAGGAAAAATCGAGTTTTCCAAATTTCAACCGGCAAAAAGCTCCAAGTTAAATATGGATACTTGACAGTGTTTCTATTGATGTATATGAACATTCTGTTCTTATCTCAATCAATATGAACTAAAATATTAGGTTAAATTTATGAATCTCATATGATCATATTTGTAGAACCTAGACTGGAATAGGTGGCCCAACCATGAGATGACTTGGTTTGCGCACTGGCCCACGCAGGTCCACTTGCCCTGATCTCATGTGAACCAGTCAACCTCAGTGCATTGGCCGGATCAATGATTAGGCTGAGCATCATTAGTATACATGATCCAGAATACAACATGACCTAAATTTTTTATACTACAGAGAAATTGGCTATTTTGTGTAACATGCGATTAGTATACATGAGTTTCACGTCCGTCCTATGACTGCCCGAAAAGGAACTGCAGTTGTCTTGAATAGGAATCCTAAAGTGATTAACAGAATCCCCCTAAAAATACTACTCCATTTTATGGTTTCGAAATTCTCTACATTCACGAGTAGATACATGTCTTTGAAACTAAGAGTGATTAGCAGAAGACTTACCTAGTTCTGAAGCTGGCAAACGAATGTAGATGTTCACCTTGCTATCTGCTTCAGGAGGCTCTCTAATATCAATCAAATCCCCAAACCACATCAAACAGCCACTGATTCCATCTATAAAAGGGGTAGCAAAAGCTGTACAGGAACAGCTTTTGGAACACTGAGCTTTGCATTCATTGAAACTCATACTAGTATTCAATTGAAACTGGAACCTATGAGGAAAGTTAGCTTCCACCCCAAGAAACCCGTCTCCATTCTGGCAATTTATTGGCGTAATTCTAACACATCCACCGGACCAATCTTGCACGTCCCAATCCTTCTGAAATCTTGGGGCGAATCCTTTCAGACACTCACATATTGGTACCTGACTAATTCTGCAGATACCATTAGGACCACACCGAGCATAATTGTCACAAGAATCGCGTGGAAAAGTGTGAACAAGATTCCACCCATTTTTGCTCTCATTCATAGTATAGCGATGGATAAAGCCTGATTTGTCTTAAGTTAATCTCGTGATTAATGAGCTGTTATCATAGAGTGAAATCCTGTCTTCATTGAATACCAAAACTGGTTTAAAAGGTGTAGTGAGAATGAAAGGGAGATTACTGGTGTAATGCCCACTCCATGGGCTGCGGCGGCTTCTTTTTATCTTCCCGTGGTAGACAACCATTTCAACTAGGCCACCATTATATTCAATCCTGTCGGAAAAATTGTTGGGAATCTACTTATACATGCACAGCGGAATTTAAAATAATTTTCGATTCCCACCAAGAATCGCCTTTGTGTTTAGATAGAAATTGTGATAAGATTGTACCTTTTCCAGATCTGCAATCTTTTTGCTTTTCTTTTCGTTCCATCAACCTTGATTCACCACTACAGCTGTCCAATTGTCCAGCCTCCAACGGTGATCCACACAGAGAATAAGATTGCAGCTTCTAGGGTTTTCTCTTGTGTTAGCAAGAATAATGAAAAATCATATGGACCTCAAACCCTAACTATGTATTTATATAAACCCAAAAGGACTCGGTCCGGTCCGATCCAATATTTAATTAATCCAATTAATTAAACCCGATCCGTGAATTAATTAATCCAATTAATTAATTCGGGAATATAAATAACAAATTCATTTAATTAATTTATCTAACGATTGTTAAATTAACCAATTGACAATTTGCAATCTTCCAATTCTCTTTTGCGTGCGACCCATTAGGTTCCCGACCACGATACCTAACGACGTGAAATATTATTTTGATCTAATTAAAATTGATAAATTAAAACACCATTTTAATTTATCGTCAATTCACACTCGCCGTCCCTGATTGACATCTAGCAATGTGTCAGAGCAATACATGTGACGGAAAATGTCACGTGGTATGACAAAACCAAATTCGTTCGTTTACCGTGAAACTATAATCCCTTCGTCAATATAATCCGATCAATTACGAGATATGGAATTGTGTCAATCTCGATCATCAATCATATCTTTCACTCCACTATTAAGTCAATATAAGTCGAAAACTCCTTTTCAACTTATGAGTACACATTGGCCAAGGATTTCATCATCGACTTAATTGAATGAAACGCAGATCATAATCTCATACTATCTAAGAGTGACGAATCCTTTATTGATCAATCACAACCTTCATACGATTCTTGACGTACCCGAACGATGTCGTATTAGCGGCCCTTTTCAGAGCAACATCCAACGCCGCCAAAGTATGACTGTCCTCATATAAGGTACCATGACGAACTCAAGTCAAAGGACCAATTCCACTACCGAACGTTAGAGATTAACCACTGACACTCAGATAGTTATCCATGTGGAATCTCTCGATGGGTCTCCAATGTTTTGTTCTATAACAAAACATCCACGTGTTCATTTAAGTGTCACCACACTTTAACTTGTGAGATCAACTACTTACTTCACAAGTAAGAAATACTACACGCGATGGTCTATCCGTAATAACGATATCCGTATCTCGTTATTACTTACGACCACGGATGATTTAAGATTCAATCAGATATAATTTGTATCTCACAATCACAACTCCTTTTGATTAACAAATTACAAATATTTGAATCTACAGACTCTATTATTTATTTAATTGTCTATTAATTAAATAATAGATCTGCCATTTAATTGCATTAATTATATATAAAAGTATTTATGTCCAAAGTTGATTGGATTTAGGGCATAATACTTACAAAAATCTCCAATGGACGGATCATGAGAACTTCTCCAAGACGTCAAATATTCATCTTGACCTTGTCCAAGGTAGTCTACCAGTACCATTCCTGGTAACCTGGTATCACACGGGTAATCAAAACTCTGCCATATATAGTTTTGTTGAGAAGTTGAGTTCATAATTACAAGGTTTCCAGTGTTTAAGAGGCGTACAACTGGAATTGATGCAACACTTGATATATTTGACGACCAGATAATGGTTTTGCCTCTCTCAAGAAGTAAAGTTCCATTTCTGGCTATGGACAAGATCCCTTGCGAGTCTATAATGGGAATATTTCTATTTGCAACCCAAATAACAACATCCGGAGTAGTTTTGTACCATATTCCTAAGAACCTGCTATTGGAATTACCAGGGGAGAAGAATCCCAGCTCGAATATTTCTCCCTCAGAAACTAAAATCTGCCTGTCGCGAATGGTTTGGTTTGCAGAAAGTGTATCTTCTGCAACGGACAATTTGAGAAAAGTTAAAGAATAGATGAGAGCAACGGTAAATTGTGATTGCAACATTTTTTTGGATCAAGGAATCAGTAAGTTGCCATTCCGTGTGACTTTGGAAAACACAAAACCAATCTGAATCTTCTGTAAATTGGAGTTAAGTGCTAACAAGTGTAGTGACTTTTCTGTGGTCTTTGGGTCCTGGTTGGCACCTAGTTTAAGGTGTGAACGTTGAAAAATCTGCATACCATAGAATAAAATAATGGAGGTAAATTACAGACGCATTAGGTTGCCAAGATATTTCATTCCTTTTCCTTTTCCTTTTCTGTTTATGTTTAATTGTTCAATTTCCTTTTGTTGTAACAGTTAAAAAGGTGATGTCGTTTATTCAACAAAATTTGACAAGATTACTAAAAAAAAAGTGGTAATTGGGTCAAATAGCCTATATTATAATACACTTTGGAATTTTAGCCTTTGACCAGAATAATGTTTTTAAAATAAATATATTAAAAGGGGATTTATAAACTACCTAAAACACCCTTATTCAACATCACTAGAAAACTTAATTCCCCATTTTCTTTTCTCAAATCAATTGAATTCCAGAATCCTAAATCCATAATCTTTGTTCTCTCTTCACAATCCCCAACCCCCCTAATTTTTCTTCTTGTCTTCTTCATCTCTAGATCGTTCTACCATTGAAAATCGATTTCCTTAGTCTTCTTGAGTGAAATGAAGAATTTGGTATGAAGGTTTCATCAATTTTTCCAAGATCGAAACTCGCAAAAAAAAAAGTACCTATACGTGAATAACCACTTCTAAGAACCAATTTCACAGTGGGCTATTCTCAGGTATGAATGATTCCTCAATTTTTCATTTTTAATACGATTTTATGCCCCAAAAAAAAAATTAAAGAAATTTGTGCCAGGAAGAATTCTACCAATAGGGTGAGCTTTTTTAGACCTTTAAATTTATTCATTTTTTTGTATGTTGTGATTAACTTTTGGAACTCAATTTTCTCATCATATTTTTCATTATTGCTTCGAATTACACCAAAAATACTTAACAATTCAACTTTCTTCCTGTAACTGCAAATTTGAAAAAATGTTATTTCTCTACTTATTTTTCATGATGTAGATATATAAGCAAATTGATAAAAAAATATGTAGTAGAGTGTTCTGAGTATGAGATATTGAACATATACATGTGGGCTTATAAGTAAATAACGTAGGTGATTTTGAAAATTGCAACATATGATTCTTTTTTATTCTAATTAGTGTTGAGCTGATAAGTGGAAACAAAGATGGCAATTTAATAGAAAGTGCTATCAAAAATTAGATATTTAAGTCTTTGCTTGTTGAAAATATTTAAATGTCATGTTAGTTGCAATATTAGTGTAATGAAATAGATATTCTGTGATATCATTGAAGTCTTAGCAAATTGATACTATTTTGCAATTTGCATTAAATGGAATATGGTAGAGTAATAAAAGATCGTGATTTTTTTACTGTAACTAATATATGGTAATGTTTTGCATGTTTTTCCATCATTAAATGTTTAAATGGCATTAAATGTTTTGCATGTTTTGATGTAAATTGCATTTACTTGGTTGAGATTGTGATATTTGATATGTTAGTTGTTGAATTTTCCAGCATGGCACCATGAAGTTTATATAGTTCTAAAAATTGCATCCTGCCGTTTATGTAATTTTGAAAATGTCACCTATTTTTTTTCTATTTTTGAAAATGAATTGTACTACATATCATTTAACATTATTGTAAAATTTTTATATTTGTTCATTGATTAATTAACATGATCATTTTGTGTCTTTTATTGTAGAAATGGAGCACTCATTTTAGTATGTGATTTCTTTATTGTAGAAATGGAACATTCATTTGAGTTTGTGATTCCCGCTGAAGATAAAATTAAAGGTAGACCTTCAAAAATGCGCTCCCTTCATAGACTTACTATATTTAAGCAATATTAGATGATATTTGAGGGAGAAAAGCTTTTGACCGCACAATTGAATGATGAGCAGAGATAAGCAACGGACACGTCAGTAGGTAGCTTGCAGTTATCTCTTGTCGATCAATGAGATTATAGAATATACACTACCAACTTTATAGAACTTTTGTCAGCCGGATTAGACGTAAAACTTATATCCGATAATAAGATTGAATAATTGTTTTCTTTGTATATTTTTCAATTTTATGTGATCAGATGATATAGGATTTAGACGCTAATTTTGTTAGATGGTAGTATTTTGATTAGTTGTTTACTTTTGCTGTAATGAAATAAGGGCATTTTGAAATTTTGATTCATTCATTTACTAAAGCCTTTTAACGGTTCGTATTTGATGGCACAAGCATTAGCTTAATTTTCCAAAAAAAGGTCCATGCTAATTTTGGCATTTGATTTGAGAACATCCTCATGGTCATTTTTCTCTCTTTCATCGTTATTTGAGAATTTACTTCTGCAGGAGTATGCATTTAGTCAGTAGGTAGTTGGCAGTTATCTCTTGCAATTGGTATATTTTGATGATTAGATGTAATTGGTGCTTTAGTAGTAGCTCGTGTGAAGTTTAAACGGGAATAACTTGTAGGTGTTGCTTTAGAACTATTTTGCTCATCTTATCTTATCTATGCTAAAGTTGCTATTTTTAAGAGTATTTTGTCACCTCAAATTTTAGTCTTGGGAATGCAGAAGTGATGGAAACAATAAGCATATTAGTGGGAATTTTCATTTATATTTATAGTTTGACCAATGTATCTATGATAATATATTTTGGTGGAATATATTTCGCCTTCGATGACCGAGTTAACATAATTGTTTTCTTCATATATTTTTCAAATTTATGTAGTCGAAAGATATAAGACTTAGATGCTAATTTTATCTAGATAGGGACATTTTATATGATTTAGTTGGAAAACAAGTGCATGAATGCTGATTTTGTTTAGTTAGTATTGATTTTTATGATTGATTACGGAACAGGTGTATGGATGTTGACTAGTGTAGCTATGAAATTTTGCAATGTTTTCCATTGAATGAATGTTTTATTCAAACATTAAGTAGTAGAGTTGAAACAGAACTGCAATTTTTATGATAGCTTATATATTTATGCAATGGAAAAATAGATTATATTATTAATTATGCAAATTTATCCAGTCTGGAAAAATGACAGTTATACATTTAAAATGACAACATGCTATTTTGGGTCGTGATGCCTCGATCTCACTAAGAAACAAGTATTGGAATGACATGTGATATTGGGTAACAGGATCTCAATTTCACTTGATCATATTGAACGATTACACGAGCTATATTTTTGTATACTCTACCCCTTAAATGGCACCCTTACATGTAAAATGATAACATGTGGTTTTGGTCAAGGGATCTCAAATTCACTCCAAAACTAGTAAAATAGTGTTTTGAACATCATATAAACTTGTACATGTTGAACAATTACATGTTTTTCTGTTTTCTAAACCCTATACCCTAAAACGTAAACCCTGTACCCTAAACCCCCAATGACAACCCTCCATTTAAAATGATCAGACGCCATTTGGCCTCACGGGGTATGAATTTCACTCCAAAACTAATAAAATAGTGTTTCGAACATCATACATGACTTTTACATGTTGAATAATTACATGTTTTTCTATTTTGTAAACCATATATCTTAAAACATAAACCTTATATCCTAAAACATAAACCCTAAATAGCAACCCTGTGTTTAAAACGACTAGATGTCGTTTTGGGTCATGGGGTGTCGATTTCATTCCGAAACTAGTGAAACATGTTTTGAAACATCATACATGAGTCGTATAAATTAAACAACTACACGTGCTATATTTTGGATATTATAGTTATTACTTACATTTTTCTTTTTTGTCAAGTGAAGTGTGGCTTCCTAACGGATTATGAATTGACTGACTATAGTTTGAACAAATGTGTCGATAGCAACGTCGCAATGTAATAAAAACTTTCATCCATAAATTTTCACGTGGTTATAGACGTGAATGATCCGAAACTAACACTAAACGAATAGAAATGTTGGCTATACGTTTAAAATAATTAGATGTTGTGTTGAGTCATGTGGTATCAATTTTACTCTGAAACGAGTAAGAATAATGTTTGGAACATCATAGATAAAACATACAAGTTAAATGATTGTACATGCTATGTTTTGTATACCCTAAACGGTTTCTATATACCCTAAACGGCAGTCATACTTGTAAAATGATCACATGTAGTTCTGAGTTGTAGGGTTCAAATTTCACTTATACATATTTAATGATTACATATTCGATATTTTTTTATATCCTATACCCTAAATGGCACCCCTACGAATAAAACGACAATATGCCGTTTTCAGTCAAAAAGTCTCGATTTCATTATAAAATTAGTAAATTAATGTTCGGAATATCATTCAATACTATAAATGTAACCATACATTTAAACAATATACCCAAAACCCTATATCCTAAACCCTAAACCCTAAGCAACAACCATACGTTTAAAACGATCAGATGCCGTTTTGGGTCACAAGTTATCGATTTCAGTCTGAAATTAGTAAAACAGTATTTGAAACATCATACATGACTTGTACACATTGAACGACTACACGTACTATGTTTTGCATACCACATTTTCTACTTACATTTTTCTTTATTGTCAAGTATAGTGTAGTGTAGTGTTCATCCGAATTATAGCGGGACTCGCTATAGTTTGAATCAATGTGTCGATAAAATATAGATAAAACTTTTATCCTTAAATTTTCAAGTGGTTACATGCATGAATAAATCGAAATGAACACGAAATTAGTAGAAACATCACTCATACATTTAAAATGACCAAATGCCTTATTTGGTCACGAGGTATCGATTTCACTTCGAAACTAGTAAAATAGTATTTTAAACATCATACATATCTTGTACACATTGAACAACTACACATACTATGTTTTGCATGCCATATTTGCGACTTACGTTTTTCTTTATTTTCAAGTGTAGTGTAGTTTAGTTTCTAACCGATTATAGAGTGACTCGCTATAGTTTGAACCAATGTGTCGATGAAATGTAGTTAAAACTTTCATCCTTAAACTTTCAAATAGTTACGAGCATGAATAAACCAAAACGAACATGAAATGAGTAGAAATG